ATACAAAGGAAAGAAATAATGGCGTTCACAGCAACCTGGATGGAATTGGAGACTATTACTCTAAGTGAAGTAACTCAGGAATGGAAAAATCAAACATTGTATATTCTCACTCATAAATGGGAGCTAAGCTATGAGGATGCAAAGGCATAAGAACAATACAGTGGACTTTCGGACTCAAGGGAAAGGGTAGAAGGGGGGTGAGGCATAAAAGACTACAAATTGGGTACAGTGTATACTGCTCGGGTGATGGGTGCACCAAAATCTCACTAAAGAACTTACTCATGTAACCAAACACCACCTGTTCCCCAAAATCCTATGGAAATAAAAAATAAAATAAAATAAAATAAAAACTCAATTTACCAAGGCAAAAAAAGGCTGAGTCTACACCTCGTTATTTTTTAAAATCAGGAGTCACCCTGGTGCTTTTAAAAAAAAGACCAAGGCTAGCTCAGTGAGATGCAGCAGAAGTAAGAGAGATTAAGAGCACAGGAAGGACTTGACCGGCTATGGCTGGAGAGGGAGGGGCTCACATGGAAAACAGTCCCAGGAATGTGGGCGGCCTCTAGAGAAATATGGTTTGGATCTGTGTCCCTGCAAAAATCTCATGTCAAATTGTAACCACAAGTGTTGGAGATGGGTTTGGTGGGAGGTGATTGGCTCATAGAAGGGTTTGGTGGGAGGTGATTGGCTCATAGAAGTGGTTTCTAATGATTTAGCACCATGTATCTAGTACCATCTTGTGATAGAGGTCTCCTGAGACCGCTTGTTTAAAAGTGTGTCCCAGCAAAAGCTGTGGGGGCCTCACCTGTCCCCCAACCATGCTTAGCAAAAAATAAAAATAAAAAATTAAAAAATAAGCATCTTACATGCTCCTGCCATGTAAGATGTGCTTACTTCCCCTTCACCTTCTACCATGATTGTAAGTTTCCTGAGGCCTCCCCAGCCTTGCTTCCTCTATGGCCTGTGCAATTATGAACCATGAGCCTCTTTTCTTCATAAATTGCCTAGTCTCGGGTAGTTCTTTTTTTTTTCTTTTTAATAGAGATGGTGTTTCACCATGTTGGTCAGGCTGGTCTCGAACTCCTGACCTCAAGTGATCCATCTGCCTTGGCCTCCCAAAGTTCTAGGATTACAGGGATGAGCCACCACGCCCAGCCTAAGGTAGTTGTTTTATAGTAGTATGAGAACAAACTAATACAAGGAGCAAAGATCAGTTATTGGTGGCAGGCAGCAAGGATAGACTTTAGTCCTACTATGGCAAGGAACTCAATTCTGTCAACAATCCAAATAAGACTGGAAGTAGTTTCATGCCCAGGGCCTCCAGCATGGAACACTGCCCTGCTGACATTTAATTTGGTCCTTGCAAGACTCGAAACAAAAGACTCAACTGAATGACACCATACCTGAAGTTTTGACTTACGGAACTACTAGAGTGTTAATTGTAACCTGCAAGGAATCTGCCAAACCATCCACTCACTTTAGATCCCACCCACAAGCTGAATGCAGGCCAGAGAGTATCACGATAGTTGTGTGAGGGAGCAACAATCAGAAAAATTAGAAAACTTGAAGTGGAATACAGTCGTCCTTCTGTATCCACGGAGGATTGTTTCCAGGACATCCTTGGATACCAAAATCCTGATATAAAATGGCATCATATTTGCATATAACCTATGCACATCCTCTTATACACCTTAAATCTTCTCTAGATTATAATACCTAACACAATGTAAAAGCTATATAATATATAGCATGTATCCAGTTGGTATACTGCATTGTTTAGGGAATAATCAAAAGAAAAAAAAAGTCTGTAAATGTTCAGTATAGATACAACCATCCATTTTCTTCCCAAATATTTTTGCTCTGTGGTTGGTTGAATCCACAGATGCAGAACTCACAAGTACACAGGGCAGACTGGATTTCTTTTTTTTTTTTTTTTTTTTAGACGGAGTCTCGCTCTGTCGCCCAGGCTGGAGTGCAGTGGCCGGATCTCAGCTCACTGCAAGCTCCGCCTCCCAGGTTCACGCCATTCTCCTGCCTCAGCCTCCCGAGTAGCTGGGACTACAGGCGCCCGCCACCGCGCCCAGCTAGTTTTTTGTATTTTTTAGTAGAGACGGGGTTTCACCGTGTTAGCCAGGATGGTCTCGATCTCCTGACCTTGTGATCCACCCATCTCGGCCTCCCAAAGTGCTGGGATTACAGGCTTGAGTCACCGCGCCTGGCTGGCAGACTGGATTTCTTACACCTGAATTTCCTACAAAGATTAAAATTGAAAGCAAGGATCCAACTAAAGTACATTTGTTTGGCTCTTAATGAGTCAACATATGCCACCAATACTGTTCAATTTTTGTTCGTTTATTTAGGAGTCAGTTCAAATTTCAAAGTAACTGAAGAATTTGCTTTTATAAATAGTTCGTGTATAATAGAACAACTTCAGGGAGGAATATTTTTATTTTTTAATTATTTATTTTTTGAGGTAAAGTCTCACTTTGTCACCCAGACTAGAGTCCTGCCTCAGTCCCCCAGGTAGCTGGGACTACAGGCTCACACCACCATGCCTGGCTAATTTTTGTATTTTTTTGTAGAGATGGGGTTTTGCCATGTTGGCCAGGCTGGTCTTGAACTCCTGAGTTCAAGCAATTTGCCCACCTTAGCCTCCCAAAGTGCTAGGATTACAGGTGTGGGCCACCACACCTGGTCAGGCAAGAATATTTTTAAAGAAGTTAAGAAAACCCTAATGTATTATTAGGTTGGTACAAAAGTAATTGTGGTTTTTGCCATTACTTTTAATGCCAAAAACTACAATTGCTTTTACATCAACCTTATATAACCTTATCTTAGTCAGTTTGCAGAAAACAGACCAAGTAATTTATACGGTAAAGAAGTTCATTTTGGCTCATGGTTGTGGAAACTGGGAAGTCCAAGAGCATGGTGACAGCTTCTGGTGAGGGCTTTTATACTGTATCATAACTTGGCAAAAATGTGAAGGGAAAGTGAGCATGCATGCAGAAGAGACTGCAAGAATAAGCTAAGCTCACTTTTATAACAACCTGCTCTCATAAGAACTACTTCACTCCTAAGAAAACTAACTCCCTCCATAACACCATTAATCCATTAATGAGTGCTTAACCCAGGACCCAATCACCTGTTAAAGGCCCTGCCTCCCAACACTGCAGCATTGGGAATTAAATTTCCAACACGTGAACTTTGGGGGGAACACATTCAAACCACAGCACAACTCAAGTGTAATTTGCTAAGCAGGTACTTTGTGGAAAATATTTGGGTCTGCCATAGACTATTGAACCAGTAATGCCAACAGAGAGCTTCATTTGCTCTTGTTAACTTAGCCATTGTCAGTTTCATGAATTATTGTCAGAAATAGAAGCTAAATATCCTGACTTTCGTACAACACAGCAGTTTGATGCCTTGACAGTGGTAAAGATTTATCAAGATGTTTGTTTTTAGCTCAGGGCTGAGATTAAATTTTTTTCTAAATGAAAAGAACCACCCCCAACCACGTGTAAAACACCAAACGGCTTCGGAAATTAGCTTTTGCTGCAGACTTGATAATATTACTTTATGAATTCAAACTAAAATTACAAGGCTAAAGTAACCTATAACTTACACTATCATGAAGTCATTTCAATGACCACATTGAATCACAAGTAATATCAAGCTGCTTTATATACTTTCAGTGCTGTCTAAAGTTAAAACAGGAAGCAAGATCACCATCCCTACTCAAAATTAGCAGTGGCTGTATTTTCCATGCTCAAATGCTAGTTCTGGTAGCATTTTTGGACCTCTATGCAAATGCAAAGCACATTTCTATATTTCGATATCCCTGTAACTGTGCAGTTGAGGAGTTCCCACCTAACCTTCAATTGGAAGTGATTAATCTGCCATATAATGACAAGCTAAAGTGCAAATTTCAAGAGAAGAATATAACAGAACTCTATAAATGTCTTCCAAGCAATGAATATACTCAAGTTAAATCATATGTTCGTGGATGATCAGTATTTGGCAGTATGTATCTATCTTAAAAACATTTTCAAAGATGAAATATGTAAAATCTCATTATAACTGGTATAAACAGATGTACACAATTTTGATGCTGATGAACACTAACTCTGGGGCCTAGCACAGTGCTCACGACTGTAATCCCAGCACCTTGGGGGGCCTGAGGAGTAAGAATCCCTTGAGCCCAGGAGTTCTAGACCAGCCTGGACAACATAGTGAGATCCCCATCTCTACAAAAATGTTTTAAAAACTAGCGGGGCACAGTGGCTCAGGGTTGCTGTAGTCCTCACTACCGGGGAGGCTGAGGCGGGAGGATGCTTGAGCCCAGGAGTTCAAGGCTGCAGTGAGCCATGATGGCACTACTGCCCTCCAGCCCGGGCGACAGAACAGGGCCCTGTCTGAAAAACAAAACAAAACAAAACAAAACTCACTAACTCTGAATTCCAATTAAGCAAAATGTTACGCCTAAAAAAAGAAAAATTCCATTCTTTGCATCAGTAGCATTACTATATAATGATATAATGAGATCATTTTTTTTTTTTTGAGATGGAGTCTTATTCTGTTGCCCAGGCTGGAGTGCAATGATGTAACCTCCGCTCACTGCAACCTCCCCCTCCCAGGTTCAAGCGATTCTTCTGCCTCAGCCTCCCGAATAGCTGGGATTACAGGCGCCCGTCACCACGCCCAGCTAATATTTGTATGTGTATTAGAGACGGGGATTTCACCATGTTGGCCAGGCTGGTCTCAAACCTCAAGTTATCCACCAAACTCAGCCTCCTAAAGTGCTGGGATTACACGCGTGAACCACCGCGCCCGGCCAATATCATCATCATTATATTTTGAGTTTTATCAATATGAAATTGATGGGAAGGAGGAGTGGTTCCACGATTGAGAGCAAGGCTTATGTCGTCACCATGGAGACGGGCAGTCCAACGCTTCTGATTGGCAGGGACCAAGGGACGGGTCCTCGGCCCGTCCCCCTCGACCCTCTCGGACCGGAAAGTCCTGGCGAGGCTCGAGGGCGCAGGGTCCGCACAGCCCGGATGAAAAGCAGACCCGGGGAAGCTAGCGGGAGTCAGGACCCCGGGCGATGAGGGCGGTGATGAGGGAAGGAGGCTCCGGGCGCCGCCGGCGCATGCGTATTGGGGATCTGAGGCCAGTGCCTTGCGCCGCCATTGCAGGGAGGCTGTCGTCAGAGCTGTCCTGGCGCGCCGGCTGCTGGACCGGCCCCAGGAGCCCAGTCACCGGGCGTCATTGGCTCAGGCGGTGGGGCCCTCGGCACCTTCTCCCGCCCGGGTCCACCCTGGCGGCGGCGGCGGCGGCGTCAGAGGGCGGAGCCTGCCGGAGCGCCCTTTGTCTGCGGAGGTGAGTGCGCGCCGGGAGGAGGCGGAGGCGGGAGGTGGGAGGCGGCGGCCGGGGGAGGGGCGGCCGCTGTCCCCGCTGTCCCCGTTTCTGTCACCCGCCCCGTGTCCCTTTCGGATTTTTGGTCTTTTATAGGACAGTCTTACCCGTTCCAATATTACAAACACATTGTCCTCTACTATCTGCGAATGACTCTGAGGCTGAAAAAAATTTGCAATTTATTTTTGGGCAAGCGTCCATAGGTGTCATTTTGGGGGAAAGTTTTTCCTCATCTCAGGATTATGCAAACATTCGCCTTTATTTTCTTTTAATACGTTTAAAGAATTGAAAAAATATTTTCTTTTTCTTCTTTTTATCTGTATTTCATTGAGTATGATATTTGTGGTAAGGGGTTAGTTAGGGATTTACCTTTTTCTCTCATTGCCTTGCCGTTATCCGTTGAGTCACTTTTCCACGGAATTGCGTGACACTTTTATTACATTTTGCAGGCGTGTGTATACTCAGATGTGTTTCTGTTTATGTTTTTGTTTTGAGACAGGATCTCACTTTATCACCCAGGCTGCAGTGCAGTGACACGATCATGGCACACTGCAGCCTCAAATGCCTAGACTCAAAAGCTCCACCTGCCTCGGTCTCCCCAGTAGCTGGGACCACAGGTGTGCACCACCACGCGCGACTCTTTGTTGTTGTAGTTAGCGACCAGGTCTCACCATGTTTCCCAGGCTGGTCTCGAACTCCTGAGCGCAAGTGATCCTCCCAGCTTGGCCTCTCAAAGTGCTGGGATTCCAGGCGTGAGCCACGGCGTTCGGTCAGATGTTTCTAGATTTTTTCACTGCCCTGACAGTTTCTGCAGTGAATATATATATCCATATATACATACATACATACATTTTTTCATTTAAAATGTTTAGGCCGGTTGCGGTGACTCACGCCTGTAATTGCAGCACTTTGGGAGGCAGAGGCAGGAGGATCACTTGAGCTCATGAGTTCGAGACCAGCCTGGGAAATGTGTCAAGACCCTGTTGCTACAAAAGGAACTAGAAACATTAACCGGACTTGGTGGTGTGTGCCTGTAGTCCCCAGTTATTCAGGAGGCTGAGGTGGGAAGATGTCTTTGGCCCAGGAGATGAAGGTTGCAGTGAGCCAGCCACTGCACTCCAGCCTGGGCAATAGAACCAGACCTTGTCTCAAAAAATAAATGTTTTAAGCAAATCCCGCTTAATTATGTCCTTTCATGTAATGATTTTTTTTTTAGACAGAGTTTTGCTCCTGTTGCCCAGGCTGGAGTGCAATGGTGTGATCTCCGCTCACCGCAACCTCTGCCTCCTGGGTTCAAATGATTCTCCTGTCTCAGCTTCCCGATTAGCTGGGATTACAGGCACATGCCACCACACCTAGCTAATTTTTGTATTTTTAGTAGAGACGGAGTTTTATCATATTGGTCAGGCTGGTCTCAAACTCCTGACCTCAGGTGATCCGCCTACCTCAGCCTCCAAAGTGCTGGGATTACAGGCTTGAGCCACCGTGCCCGGCCTGATCTATTTCTTTTAACTTAAATTGTGAGGCATTTGAAAGATACAGAAAAGTAAAATAATAATAATAATAATTTTTTAAAAGGCAGGTTGTAGCACTTAGTAGGTTGTAGCAATTAGTAGGTTCTAAATAGATAGCTATTCAGTGATGAATGTTGGTTGAAAGTCACTCTGTTGCTGAAAACTTGCGCACAGCTCCCTGCTGCCATCAGGAAAATGTTCTAGTTCCTCAGTGATGCCCTCAAAGCCCTTTATGATCTTGATATTGCATCTGGCTTTGCCTTACACCCTTGCACTTTTTTTCACCCCAAAAAAGCAGTTTAATTTGAGTGCAGATTTGTATGTGAATTTCATTAGAAAAGAGGACTATATAAATCTATATGAGTTACAGTTCTTGTAATATGTTGGTGTCATTTTCATCTGATTGGAAATGTCAACTGTGAAGAGCATGCTTTTAATTTTTACCTTAGAGTATGCATCTTTGGTGACTGTCGTAGCCTGCTCAGTCTGCTATACAATACTGCAGACTGAGTGCCAACACAGAAATGTCATATCTCACAGTTCTAAAGGTGGTAAGTTCAGAATCAAAGTGCGTGCCCTGTTGGTTTCCAGTGAACCTCTCTTCTTGGCTTGCAGAAGGAGCTGGCTTTTCTCTATGTCCTCTTCTGCTGGCCTTTGCACTGGATGCATGCACTCTTGGTGTCTCTTCGTCTTCTTATGAGGACACTATTGCTATTGGATTAAGACCCCACCTTTATGACCTTATTTAACTTTAATTACAGGCCCAGTAACTTTAATTGCTGGGCTCACGCCTGTAATCCCAGCACTTTGGGAGGCAAAGGCAGGTGGATCACCTGAGGTCAGGAGTTTGAGACCAACCTGGCCAACATGGTGAAACCCCATCTCTACTAAAAATACAAAAATTAGCCGGGTGTGCAGCACTTTGGGAGGCCGAGGCAGGCGGATCATAAGGTCAGGAAATGGAGACCATCCTGGCTAACATGGTGAAACCCCGTCTCTACAAAAAA